ACAGTCTTAGAAACCTTGTATTAGGTCACTTTAAATCAGAATTGACTTGATGGCAGTGGGTTTATATGTGTTTGAAAGTTCTACATTTGCTCCTCACTTATGGACTGTTTCCCTATCCAACACAATTTTGGAAAAATTATTCGGCTGCACCTCCAAAGCTCTGGTCCCCAGGAGGAGCTTCAGCTGGCTCCAGAATATTGTCTGGACCACCCCAAACAATATACTGGAGGCTCTGGTGAGGACCACTCCACAGGAGGAAGGGACCAACTTGCCAAAAGATGCCTTCTCCCAGCCTTAAAGAGAAAGTTTTTATGACCTGATAGGAAATGATACCTGTAATTTATATATATACCTGTATGACGCCTGTATATGTCTAAATTATCGCTGTGATATATAAAATATGTACAGGGAAGATGAAGTCCTTGACAGCTTCAGTCTCTTCTGCCTTTATTATGATGTTGCTTAAGGGTCCAATTGTGAGGGTTGTTGCTTTCTTGATGTTGAGATGTCATCCATGCTGCATGTTGTAAATTTTGACCTTCAGCCATAAGTGCTTCAATTCCTCTTCACTTTGAGCAAGCAAGACGTTGTCATCTGCATATTGCAGGTTACTGAGCCTTCCTCCAGCCCTGATGCTGTTCTTCACAGCATGTCAGATTATTTGGCTGAATACATATGGAGTACGTGTGATAAAAGGGTACAACACTGATGCATACCTTTCCTGATTTAAACCAGGCAGGATCCCTTCATTTTGTCTAAATGATTGTCTCTCGGTCTGTGTACAGGTTCTGCATGAGTACAATTAAGTGGCATTCCATTCTTTGAATTGTTATCCATAAGTTATTATCCTCATAGTCGAATACCTTTGTGTACTTAAACACAAGTAAGCATCATTCTGGTATTCTCTGCTTCTGCCAGGATCCATCTTACATCAACAGTGATGTGATATCCCTTGTTAAACATCCTCGTCTGAATCAGGCTTGAATTTCTAGTAGTTCTCTGCTACTGTAATTCTGCAATTGCTTTTGAATTATCTAAGCAAAAATTTACTTGCAATTAATAATAGTTGAATAATTTCCACATTCTTTGGAATGGGCACAAATATCAATCTTCCAGTCGGTTGACCAAGTAGTTGTCTTCCCTACATTTCTTGACATGGATGAGAGAGCATTTGCACCAATGCATCCTATTAGGAAAATTACAGCTTACAGTTTAGGTTAAGGAGTGCCTCGGGATGCAATTCTTCTGAAAAACCAGGCATTGAAAACCCTATGGAGCATTGTTTTGACACCTGTGGAGTTACCATGATAGAACAGACTCAAGGGAAACTGTTTTTATTTTTAGTGTAGGTAAACATTTGAGCTCTTTTTGTATTTTGTTACCTGAAATGTGATACTGTGATTGTCCTTCAGAAAACCTTGAGGTAGTTTATTGTGCCAACCTGGCCGATAAACACATGTGGAATTAATTGAAAGGCGGAGGGATAAATGGCTTGGTGAGCCTCGCCTTTCTAGTTCTCAGGTCTCTTGCTTTCTGACGGTCAACCAGGGTGCAGCTACCTTAGCAGTTCCCTGCTTCAGCGCCCAAGGCTGACTTCCTGCAAGACATCCTCAAGGAGAAGCCGCATGGACCTACCCCGATGCAACCCTGGGTGCTGGAGCAGCTGTGTGAGACCCCTGCCAGCACTGAGATGCTTACACGTTCACTGATTTGGCTTTCCTCCTGCAGTCAGCATCATTGTGTCTGCTTTGTGAGATGGAGGAGGACTTTGTGGATTGGTGTTGGACTCAATGAGTTAATGGTTAATGTTGGACTTGTGGGCTTGGGCAGCACTGGGTTGGGATGTTTTCTTGATGCACATTTAACCTTTATATAAAACTCTCTTATATATGGGTTTCTGTGGATTTGTTTCTCTAAAGTACCCAGACTAACACAACCAGGACTTTGTAAAATTGGAGCCATTAAGATGTAGGACATTGCTTGCTTAAATGATCTGGTCTGCAAGCAGTTACTTGCTGTAATAACATCTCTGCAGTAAGAGCAAAGCACGACTCCTGTCACTGAGAAAGTGCTGTGAGGAGAAAAACAGTCAGCCAACCCGAACAGCATACATAGTAAAGTGGCTAATTTGCATTTTGGTGTAATCTTAATTTATTACAGCCTTGTAACAAACAGACCCACTATTGATAACACTGATATAAAATTGCATTTTATTTGTGTTTGCCATTGAGGTAGGGATCATGGTAATATTTAGATTACACAAATTAATGTCAGACTAATCCCAAGAAGTTGGAGATTGAAAATATTCCAGTTTCCCAAGTCTTCCAAGATGCTCGTCTGTTCCATTTCCCCACCCTTCCCTTGCGTTTATTCCCTGGGTTCTATACATGGCTGCAACATCCCACAGAAACCCCCATAACTTTGAGGAAACGTCTCACGTGGTGGTGGGTGCTGTTCAGTCCAAACTCCAAGGATCTGGCAAATTCAAGCCAAATTCAGGTTCTAGAGGCGGAAGCCGAAAATGTCCAAAAGCCACAGCAGGTCTCCTTGCTTCCATCATAGCTCAGTCAGGAAACAGCAGTCAGGCTGGCCAGGTGAGGTGATGAGTGCTAGAACCAGCATTTATACCCCACCAGATGGTGTCTACGTCACACCCTCTACCAAAGTAAAGTCCAGCTCTCCCCCACCCGCTCCCCCCAGAAACAAAGGGTGTGACTCGGTTTAACTCTTGACTAAAGTCGTGTCTTGATGGTGTCCTCAAGGGAACCAGGGGTGTGCCTCCGCTCACAGACACCCATCAACCAAGGTCCTGTCTCAGGCCCAGCCCACTCCTGTCCATCAGCATAGTAGATAGAGAATGCCCTCTAAAATGAGACCACAGCCCAAGCTGTGCATGGCCCAGAAGCACAAGATATCATTGAAGGAACCAGACTAGAAGGCCCATGCATACTCGGGGCTCTAATTATACGTTTAATAAACTATTATCCTGTTATGTCAGCAACTACTTATTGAATACCTTCTTACTGACCTACAATAACTTCGATGTCATTATAATTAGCAATGTGTGCGTGCATCCTGGCTTATGTGTTTCTATTAGCCTGTATTGTAACAATACCCAAGTGTCTTTCTTAATCAGCACAGTATTACAACAAATCTTGATCTCTGGTAGGACAAGGCCCCTCACTATGCTTTTATTCTTCAGGTGTGCCTTGGGCATTCTGTGGATGTACAACTTGTTCAAAAATATGAATGAATGAATTTTAATTTAGTTTAAAATTTCGGCGGTACACCTGCATAAACCTTACCAATATCACCAGCCGACTCTGTTGAGGCTGAACTAGATTAAGGAAAAAAATAAATGGAGGTAAAATCGCTTCACTATAGCTATACTTGCTTGGTTTTTGTTTTGTGAAGTGCAATTATGAAAAAATTAAGAGTCATGTAGTATTAAGTGTTGTTGTTTTGGAAAACACTGCTTTTCTAAAAAATGTAAAACATTGTGAATATGATTGTTTAATTTAATATTTTTTCCTTTCCTATTTTTTTTTCAAGTTTTGATACATCACCAGAGACAAAGCATTTCCAAGACGGCTTACCATGCATCCCGCCCTCCTTGTTTTGTCGGCTTTCTGGTGCCCAGCAGACATTTTGCTGCTGCTGCTGCGAAGTAAGTGGGCTTTTGGGGGGTATGCGTTTCCAGTGATTTAAAAAATTTGCTCTCATTTAAAATTTTGGTGGAAAGCATTATGCTTGACTCCATAAACACATATATAGGGACTTAAATTGTAAAAGTTGACCAGTTCTGCTACTTTGACCTTTAATCATGAAAGAAATAAAATTAACTTATTGCATGCTAAGTTAATATTTAAGATCTACTACAATAATAGTTCATGGCTTTTGAACACTGATATGCACAATCCCCTTAGCAGCATTATGAGGAAACTATTTTTATTTTCCTCAATTTTTCAATCAAAGCACAGATACTTTCTAAACCAAACTCCCTGCCATCGAGTTGCTTCCGACTCATAGCATTCCCATAAGAAAGAGTGGAACTGCCCCTGGGGCTTTCTGAGCCTGTAACTGCTGACGGGAGTAGAAATCCTCATCTTTCAATTGCCGCACAGTTTGGATTCAAACTACAGACCCTGAAGTTACTCATTGGTGAAGCTCACTAGTTTATATGATTTGCTCAGAGTCACAGAGCTAGTATGTGTTGGGACTAGTTTTTGAGCTCACATTTAGTTCCAAAAGCCAAGGGGCTTAGTTTCAGAGCCCAAGCGAGTTCCAGTGTGCTATGACCGCCTCTTTAGAATGGAACTCACTGTGCCCAGCTCTACATTTTAATTTATATAGGGGATGTGAAATTTTGTTTCCTGCTTGGGGAAAATGCTGCAGAAACCATTGTGATGTTAAACACAGCTTACAAGGACAGCGCTATGCGAAAAACTCAAGTGTACAAGTTGTTTTCTCATTTCAAAAAAGGTGAAATGTTGATTGATGACAAACCTCATTCTGGACGTCCGTTAACTTCCCGAACGGAAGAAAATGTCAACTCAAAGACTTACAAGGGACCATTGAAGAGAAGAGGAAGTTATTGAACTCGTACTTTGGAGCTTGGTTCAGCGCATTTTCACGGATGATTTGGGAAGGAGAAGGGTCGCGACATGTGTGCCTCAGGTTCTGACCCACCAGGAAAAGATCGCTAAGTGGAAACAGGGCGTGCTTTGAAAGGAGAGCTCTGAATTGAATCACACTTCCCCCCAGGTCATTACTGTTGACACATGGTGCTGTTCTTTTTTTATTATTATTTTTATGGTGCTATTCTTATGACCCCAAAAGCGAACCTCAATCAAGCCAATGGGAGACGTCATCATCACCTTGCTCCCAAAAGGCTTGTCAAGTGAAATCAAAGCTAAGACGATGTTCATTTGTTTTTGATGTGAGGGGGATAGTGCCTTTGGAGACTGTTAATCAAGCTTCCTATTTAGAGGTTTTGAAAAGATTGCATAACAGTGTGTGACAATAAAGGCCTGATTTGTGGCAGAGGGGCGACTGGTTTTGCCACCACGGCAATGCACCGGCTCATGCAGTCATCTCAGTACACCTGTATTTGGCAAAAACCAGCATGCCTCTCTTGCCCCATACACACATTACTCTTGATCTCGCCCCATGCGACTTTTAAGAGGTGAGGAAATAAATGAGAAAGGTGCTGTCAGCCAGCCAAACAGATGAGTTTGAAAAATGTTTCCAAGAATGGAATTGCAGATTTGACAAAGATATTAAGTATAATGAGGGTGATAAGGTTGTTTCCCCCACCCCCACCCCAATAAGGCAATTTTGTAAAACAATTTAAATACATAGCTTTTTGGGGGGAAAACCCTTTTTTTGGGGTGGGTACCCCTTTTCATGTGCCTAGAATATAATTTTATTTATTTATTTTTGGTTTAGTATTCATTAAGGATCATTTATTAGGTGGCATACAGGCTGAGTCAGTGTAAAAAAGATATATAAGATAAACCTGTCCCTCCCTCTCACCATGAGCCCTGGTGGCATAGTGTTATGCATTGGGCTGCTAATGGAAAGGTTCGAAATTTGAAACCACCAGCCGCTCCTCAGGAGAAAGATGGGTTTTCTCCTCCCATAAAGAGTTCTCGTCTCTGAAACCTGCAGAGGCAGTTGTACCCTGCCCATTAGCTCGCTGTGAATTGGCATCGACTTGATGGCAGTAAGAGTGAGTCTCACCAATAGAGAGGTCTGAGGGGACGGCCCCCTCCCCACCCCAGAAGAATTGACTTCAGAGGACAGCACTGAGGCTACAGCCCAGGGAGAGGGACATGGCTGATCAGAGCACACAGGAGCAAATGAAGGGGGAGGAAGTGAGAGTGGAGCACATCCTGGCCCACCAAGCATGGAGGACAACATTCCTATTCAGAGCAACCAATGCATGGAGAGGACCATATGGCCAGCCCCATTACAAGAAACAGCATCCATCACTGACTCATAGCCCTACAGGGCACAACACTGGAGATACAGTGTGGGAATTGTGCCTGATCCCACCCAACCATACTGAGGCAAAACACTAAGGGCATGCAACAGAACAGCAAGGAGAGCAGAGCAAGGAAGTCCTGAGGGAGTACCAAAAATAGACTTTGGGGCCAGGGCATGGCACCCCAT